TATATATACTTTTGTATATTTTTGAAAGCCAATTAAAAACTTATAACGCTTTTTCTATATATCTCTTATTTTCCCCAAATTTCCTGCATTTTATTCCGTTCAGATTTGGGAAATATGGAATAGGAAATTACGTAGTGAAAGAGTTAAGCTGCTTATCATTTGCCATTGCATTATTTAAAAAATAAATTACTTTGTGTTTGGATAAATGTAACAAGACAGAAGTAAAATTCAAAAATAGGCTCCCAGCGCAAGCGTGTGTATACTGCTTGATGTGTTTTTTTTTTACTACTTCCAACTCATGCAACACATCGGACTCTCTGCGTCACCCCCCATAATAGGTAGGCTAGGGTCTCTGTTGACGACCTCCCTTGCCTAGCTACACTAGCTAAGGCTGCCATCGACAGATACCAGCATAGGCTATAACTATACTGAAGTAAACTGAAACTCTTACTAATACTACTTATTAGTAGCACATTAAAATGAGTCTGCCTAGGCCTACAATTGTCAAATTTAGTGAAATCAAACATCTAGTCCTACCTACCTCGCAGAGCAAACAAGGATCAAGGTGTGTCGCCCACTGAATGACTCTGTTCTCCCTACAGGTCACTAATTATGTAATGTCAATTTCACGGTCAATGTTTACGCTTCCGGATTGACAAAACTGGGCTCATAGTGTCTCTACTGCCCTAGAGAGTGCAGTAGACACAAAAATCAAATATGTAATCCATGTCTCATCACTACACTAATGCATCTTTTAGGGCTCACTTAAGTCAGATTTTCAGCTGATAGTTTCCCCATCATGACTTAAAAAAATTAAAAAGTAAAACTTATTTCGATTATTCTGATGTCATACTATACCTTGTTATTTTTATCAGTGATGAGGATGCTGAAATTGGCTTTGAATGCCATATTCATGCATGTTTTGTTACCATCTTTTACAGTCCAGTTACCAACAGTTGGTGGTGATTTAGTTGTTGATGGTACGGTTGTTGGCTCAACAGTTGTACTGTCGTTGATCATTGTAGTCATAATTTCTGTTGTGTTGCCTGTAGTATTGGAGGCTGTTGTCATATTGACTGTAGTACTGGCGGCTGTCGTCATGGGAACTGTGGTCATATTAACTGTAACATTGGGAGTTGTCATGGGAACTATGGTTGTGGGGACTGTGGTTCTGCCTTTATCAGCATCACAGACGTTTTCTATAGACATAAAAAAGAAAATCAACATATTGAACACGATTGTAATTTATTAACACTTCTTTATGAAATCTTTTTAATATTGTATTTTGGTTGTATATATTCAGTGTTGAAAATAAATCTGAAAATGACTTATGTTAACAATAACACAACTTACAATGGAATTAAAAACAAATTATTGCCTAGAAGGTTTTTGGATTGGATTGGATATATTTGGTGTAAACACCAAGAGTAGCCCACGAAAGTCTAGAAGAAGACTTATTTCCAGTGGGGTCCTTCGGGTGGTGTATTGGGCAGTACACTGGAAGACAGTCTTACTCTTTCCGAAGAGTGTACTGTGTTCTTTAACGTGCACCTGGGCCATAAATGCACACAGGACCAACGGCTTAAACGTCTCATTCGAAAGACGGTGTTCTATTGTAACTTGTATTTCAGCCCTCCAGCTGAAACACAAGAGGAGGCAGCGATGGGAATTGAACCAGGGACCCAGAGATCTCCACGGTTCAGCGCACACACTGGCGACAACCAGATTAGCCGACTGAGCTAAGCTGCTCACTAATGTATGTATATATATGTTTAACAGTTTTCTATATACAATAAAGTTATCTTTATGAAATATTTTTAATATTGTATTTTGGTTGGATATATTCAGTGTTTTAAATGAATCTGAAAATGTCTTAGGGGTCATCCATTATTTTCATCATTTTCACGAGAGTACAAAACATACTCTTTTTGCTAACCACCACTTACGTTATCGTGAGTGTCCGTGGAATAAAAAAAAATAAATTGTGTTTTAAGATGTTAAATAGAGTGAGTGGAAGTAGGCTCATTGAATTTAAAAGGTAGGAATTAGGCCTAGTGAAGTAGAAGAAAGGAGAAGAAATAGGTAGGCTTAGCCTAGCACAGCACAGTGAAACACATGGTCCCATTGCTCAGTGCTGTCAAGCTGTGGTTAGGCTGCTGGCCTAGGCCTACAGTTTATTCAAATTTGCGGAGTTAGAGAGTGCATTTCCCTTGTATTTCGAAATTGTTTATAAGTACAAAATGCTTATCAACACATCGTTAATCAGGGATGCAAGATGACGCTGTGTATAAACAACTGATAAACTTAACATCTACTCGTGAATTGCTAGGTACAAAAACATAGGCTAACATTTCCAAATCATCATTTTTGTACTTTTTGAAAAGCGTACACACACCTTCAACCCCCTCCCCCAGCGTACGTTTTGTACGCTCATGAAAATGAAAAAAATGGATGACCCCTTATGTTTGTTTATAATAAAACAAAATACAATGGCATTCAAATCAAATTATTGCTCTAGAAGGTTTTGTATAATACTTTTCCACGTATACAATGAAACTAATTCTCTTTATACTCTATTCCTATTGTAGGGAATTATAGTGGTAGAAACATATTCATAGGGGTGACAAATTATCTATCTGAGAGAATTTATCCACTTCTGGCAGGGAAGGACAACATACACCTGTCAGCTAATTTCTGTCCACCTTTGTGAGAAAAATCCAAATTCCTGCCAGTAAATCCCAACCCCTAAATATAATGGACCTTTCTGGAGTGTCAATCAAACTTAACAAATGACCAATCAGAACAGTGTAAGGAATATGCTGTGTCTTAAAAACACACGTTGTTCAAAAAATATGTTTACATATATTTATGCTATTGTTTTGTGGGACCTTATTAACAATTTCCAAGAAGCGGGACGAAAAGGTCTATTCCAAACCCATGAAACAAAACTCCCTTCCTCTGGTAAGAAATATTATCCACCCCTACTAGACAATTCATTAAAACAGGCCTATGCATTACAGTGCAGTAGCATAGTACTTTCGTGTTGTTACTGTTCCATGTACCGATAATACACAGATTATAAAGTACAAGTTTTGTTTTATAAAGAAGTATAGTAAATCATGTTTTTAACACAGGAAACTCTCATATGGTAACTAAAACAATGGTAGTCCAGAGTAGTACTACTGCACTATAATGCATAGACCTATTTTAATACACTACTTAGATAGGCTTTTCTTTTTCCATCTTGATTTCAGAGGTCAAAAACATTTTTCTATTTTTTTTCAATCATATAGTGGTGTAGACTTTTAAGAACATTTTGCTGGAAAAATGTTTTGGATATGACACCCCATTATGGAGTTATGATTTTTGAAATAACATGATGTCAGAAAATCAGCCCAGAAGCTTATCTTATTTCTGTTGGTTACGCACCGCTGATTCGCAATGTTTGTCATTACTTTAAGATGTCTACCGATTCATGGAAAAGGCCTATCCATAACCTTATCTGGATCGTCACCAACATTTAACCATTTCTTCCTTTCAACTTGACAAACCATTTTAGAACGTTTCATCCAGATCCATTGATCAGTTTTTTTAGATATACAGTAGCACTTTAAATGGCCCCCAAATTCACATCCCCCTGCCCCAATCAGGATCGTCACCAATATTAGACTTAAAAACTGTAGGCAGGAGGTTGCTAAATAACATACAAATACACGCAAACATTTAACGAAATACTGACATTTTTAATAAGTATAAAGAAGTGTTTGAACCTACCTTTGCTAAACTTTCCATCAGCAACTCCAAAGGGCTGCAGTTTGACATCACTGAAGGTCAACATAAGACCTTCAATGCTTTTGTCATTTACCACCGCGTTACATCTATAGGAATAGCCAATCGGAGTGGTAAATTGTATGATGTCACCTTTTAGACTAATTCCTTGATCTGAATATATACATAATTATTATCATTAGCATTTATTTTTTAATTATTTGTTCTTTTTATTGGGTTACCTCTTCAAATTACTGTTATTCCAGAGAGCCCACTAGCATAAAACATTATAAATCACATAAAATTAAAAAACAATATCATAAAATATTACAATTAGAATATTAAAAAAAAAAAAAAAAAAAAGACTCAGCTGCATTATGCATTCCAAACCTAAGTTCCTAAAAATTAATGTTCTGCCAGATTCAATGGTTTTGGAATTATTTTTCCTGTAGAACTGTATTAGGTACTGTACTGCAGAATAGTTGTTTAAATTATCAACTGAGGAGAATTTTTTTTTTTTTGGAGAGTATGGAGTCTAAAGGTATGAAAATACTTATTTCTCCTTTCACTACAAAATTACCAATTTGGTTTTATCATAATTTTCATAATGTAATAATTTTTAAGTACAACTATTAATAAATAGAAAAAAAAAACAACTTATATTCAATGTTTGATCATCGAGTGCTGAATGTCTACTCAATGGCATATGAGTAGTGCGTATCAGTAACGCGTTCGCTACAATCAAACTGTAAACAAGGTCCCTGGATGGACAGGCACATAAATATAACATTGGAATATAACATATTAATGGAAAATAACAAGTTATTCTAAATATTATTATTACTATCATTATTGTTATTATTATGTTATTTCAAGAAATTAATAAACACCATTATTATCTGTACAGTATAATCACCATCCTTTTGATTACTTTTGCTACGTTTACGTGGAATCTTCGGAAGCAGTTTGGCAGAGTGGGAACGGTTGATTTCCCAACCTTGAGGTTGGGGTTTAATCATTCGCTCTGCATTTTGTTTGTATCCTGGATCAAGGCACTTTTATCTACATTGCTTCAGTCTACCAAGCTTTAGGCCTATCAATGGGTACCAGTAAAGTGCTGGGAGTTACATTAGGACCCAGGAGGACCTTCAAATTCTAATCCGTTTCATGCTACAGAAACTGGAGAAAAAGTCCAGCTGATACAGTATGGGCCTTAGTTGGCTCGACAAAAAATTTTACTTACTTGGAATATTGGCATTAGGGAAATTCTCTTCATCTAGTACATAATCAAATGCTACGGACTGTAGGTTATAACTTTGCTCTTTGGATTGAAACTCAAACATTATTGAGTAGTCAGTGAGGAAGTTAAGCTTAATATTAGCGACGTCTTTACCACACTTGCTACTATCATCAACGGTTGCATTACTGGATAAATCAAATGTGGCTTCCTTCACTGACTGAAAAACAATATAAATTGAGTGAAAAATGTGAATAGATATTTCATAATACAACTTGCACATTGTATAAACTTGTGGAAACATACAAAGCACACCAAATCTATGCCCGATTATACTGTATAATAAAATATTTTTCAATGCTACTATCATTGGGACACTCATCTGGTACAATTGGTGAGTTGAGTGGCTGAGCAGTAAGGCAGCCATAACATTGGCACTGGTTTAACCTCTGCTGCTCACCTAGGGTTAGGTTTAGTAGTAGAAGCAAGCATTCTCGGATAAGGACTTAAAATGGAGGACCAGTGCACACACCTGGCTTGTGTGCACTTTAAAGAACCCATTGTATCTCTAAGAAGAGAAAGAGTAGGGGGTTACCCCAATGCTATGGTTCGTTTCAACTCCTGTCCTTGTGGAATGATGTGATCATGAAGCTACTACAGTCGAGTCCGCCAAAGTCGAAAATTCGCGTCGGTCAAATTTTTGAAAAATCACAATTCTTTCCTATGTATTACTGTGTAAATTGTTTGTTTAATTCGAATTTTTATAAGTCGAATTTCGGCTATATCGACGGAATTTTCCGGTCCGGATAGGCCGATTTTAAAGTAATTTTAACCACACAAGTCGAAGTTCCAAATTTAGTAGCGCACGTCAAACTAACATCTCAGACAGCGTGCTGTGGAACTTGGCTCACATGATCGTATGTCGTAAGTTGCAGTCTACTCTCACAATACAGACACCCTTCCGGACCGGCTCCAATGTTCAGTTTTTCGTCCAGTTTAGTTTGTAAAACAAGAACAAGATTGTTGTAGTCAGGGCCTAGCTATTTAATTAATTTATCAAAGCCCTGGACTCTTTTGACTGCCTAGCCTACGCAAATTCAACACATTATTTAATAATACGTACAGTACCTGTTGTTTTGCTGTACTGCTCAGCAAATTTAATTATTACCAATAAAACCGATGCTACTTTTATATTGTTTTTGCGTGCATTTCTTTAGGTCTGATTATATTTTTCCAAGCACACATTCTTCGTTGGGCAATGCCACTTGCTGGTCGGCAGTCTAGTTGTAAACAGAACAGGTCGCGCCCCCAAAAACTCTGCCTGCCCGCCAATTGGTCCATTTTCGTGGGGTGTTTTGCAGACTAGACATGTGCTTTGGCTGTGATGACCTCAGATCGCCCAAAGTTTCACAGTGCGTGACAGTAACAAGCTCGGTGTAATCAAGAATGTTTTAATTAAACAAATTTATAAAACAAAACAAAAAACAAATAAGAAACCTTCATGGTATATTTTAGAGTCAAAACTAAATAAACCTAACAAATTATATTTTATTCTCTACAAATTTCCTCCGTAATTACATTAGCAACATGTTTTGAAAAGCGTTTTGAGTTTAAAGAATGAATGAGGTGCATTTGAAATTTACACCGACGAATCTAACGAATTTGAATTAGACGTCTACTGAAAG